TTGTAGTAGGATTATAAAATACAAACTTTTGTAAAAAGACAATTATTCCTTGGAGATCTTTCACTAATAGGAAAATAGGACCTGTCCCAGCACTGATGTGAAATGAAGAGAAGCATAAAAATACAATCAGTTCTTTTGTATTAGCACATCAAACCGTTACCAGGGGCTAAAGAGCAGCAAGTGAACCTGCACGAGAGATCTTTATCAGATACTTCAGAGTTCCTCTAAGATTTGAGCGCACCACACACCCAGAATTCAGTGGGATTAGGTCTCCTGTATCGATTCGGTTGCATAAACATGATGGCTAAATGTGACAGCGATCAGGTTCAAGGAAGTCCCCAAAAAGTCACAGTGAACACATCAGACACCTCGTTGTCTGCTTCTCTTGTCACACACTGAACAGCTTTTTGTGAAAATAGACAGGACCCTCTTAATGACATGCATATACGGCACCAAAAAAAACAACTTTCAAGCGCTGGGATTCACTTTAAAGGAAGTAGCTGACAACTAAACGCTTTTGTTATCAGATTCTTTTGAAGTAAACCTGCCGCCCTCTTTGACAGCTGGCACGCATTTGTGAGTTATAGCAAAGTGAATTACTGTACAACCGCTTTCCTGCTTGTGTTTGCCTGCTGCGTGTGTGCTTAACATCTGCATGTGTTTGAGTGAGGGAGACCTCTGCCATTGTTGAGCTGTTACATCCTGACAACTGGGAGCCTGATAGGTTAAAAATAAACTAGTGCTTTCCAATTTTGTCATCTTTTGGGACCGCTTGTCCCGGCTGTTTTGATTTTGTGTGCGTCCCCCCGGAATGCTCGGGGTCACCGACGGCCACTTCCTGTCACATGGTCCCTCATTGTAATGCTAAAAACTGTCCCTAAACGTACTCAAACATACTCAAAAATAGGACACCTAGGAAGGAAAGGCCTGTGCTGTCATACTTCTGAATTGCACACCAGGTGGCCCAGCTTAAATACAATCTGAATGACAGCGTGCTTTTTTTTTTTTTCTTCTGTCTTGGAATTATCTTTTTCACTTTAAGCTTCAAAAGATAAGTTGGTTCATGGAGGGGTCTGCACACGTGCGGAACAGAATTAGGCCACTAGTACTGTATAGAAAGAAGTGACAGCGAAAACAACATCATAGAAAGTTGTTTGTAAAAGTATGCTGTTGTCAATTCTGACATTCCTGCAAAACAAAGGATTAAAGTTAAACTGGCACTCGCAGTAGGGAGTGCAGCTGTGTGTTAGTGTGTTTGTAAAACCAAAGTAGTTTTGCGCCTCTTTAAATAACCAAAGAGCCAACTAGATATGCATGCTATGCAAATAAGTCTATGTAAACTTCCCCGGCGAGCTAAGCAAATGTATTATGTAACTTGTTCTCAAGCATCAGATGCTCTTCAGCCGAACAGAGACAGATGGACACCGCTTAAATAATGCTTATCTAAAATTTGAGAACATTTCCTGTCTCTGATAGATAGTTTTTCATTTAGTGTCTTTCATCTCAGGGACGGAAGCGGTTCGTGATTGCTTTATTCCTGTTGTTCCAGTGCACAATGTTCAAAGCAATTATGGAACGTGTTCTGTTACTCAAGGCTGGTAAAGGTGAGGCGGGCCAGTTCCGATCGGTGCACACCATGTTGTCATAGCAGCTATTGATTTTCTAATTGCAGCAGCTCGTTCAAAACACATTCAAGACTTTGTTTAGTGGTGTCACTGTATCATGTGACGCGGTGGAGATTTTAAAGCCACCGCCGTTTGTCTCACTCTGACCTACAACAAATGATCAGTGTTCTCTCACCTCTCCTGCTGTCAGTCACCTCTGCCATTCAGTAGTCGTGGGGTTCAGGCCAGTCGCTGTCTTGCCAATGTTGGTGCCTTCTTTTGACACATTCATCCCTCCCCAGTGCCCTCTCATCCAAACTTAGCATGGGCACACATCCAATCGTATGTCTCCTTTTTCTTTTTCTGTACGTTGCCAAGTGCCAATTCTATAACTAATGCGTCAAATCTCGACTCAGTAAACCAATCCTACATCAACAAGACACAGAAAATGCTGTATTTCTGCAAGCTAGGGCTGCACCAGTGTGGTCAAAATGATGACAGATAATTTTTTACTAATATTGAGCTTGTGATTATTTATCACAATTATCAATTGTTATAAATAAGCCCCAAAGGTTTTTTTTATTGCACTTCAACATTTCAGCAAAGAAGGTTCCTCTTCAGAAGAGGCAAAATATGAATAAAATTGCACCCTAAATGCTTTACTTCCTGAATATCTTATGATCAATCTACACTACGATTTACCAATGATCCCTAAACATGTCACTTTCAAGTTGTGGTAGATGCCAGCAGCGATAGGCGGCTGTGCACAGAGTAGCCTCTAGTCTCCTCACACAAGCTCAAACCAAGTGACTTCACCTGCATGGGCAGGTTTTAAAGAGTGAAGAGCATTTTAAACGACAGTTTCACAGGTGATGTGTTCATTTACCTGTGGGAAGCAAATACTGTGATCATGATTAATATTTGATTAATTGCGCAGCCCGACTATAGACGCTCATTGATATGCTTTTCTTTGAACCTTTATCCTAAGCCAGCAGCTGGTTAGTTTTCTTAGCATAACGATTGTCTGGCTCTGTCCAAGCGTGACAACAAATGGTTTATTTTGGTGAGTTAGCGAGCTTCAGAAGTGCTGGGTGACATATTTTTGACCCTTTGGATCGGTTCCAAGCATTAGGCTGTGCTTGAAGATGACGAGCTTTTAGCTCCATATGATTTCTAACAATCTCTTGTTTGCATTCCTTGAGTATTCCCAGTGTTTCCCATCGTCTGCACAGGCCCTCTGAAGTGCCAGTTACACATGTTGGGTTGTGTGTTCCTGTCTAGTTGTTGGCCTTGGCCTTGCCGTGTGGCTGTCTGTCTAGTCCACAACTGTTGCCAACACGGAGCATCATCCTTTGTTAGGCCTGGACAAAGGTTTTGGCATATCTTGGACTGACAACTTCCACAAATATGTTTGAGGACGTGTTCTGTAGTTTATGGATGTCTTTAAACTCGTTGCTTAAATGTGTTTATCTGTACATGTGTGTGTTTCTGCACTAGAGACTATTTATGTGGCTGTTCAGATCAGGCGCTGTGTGTGTTTTGTGGCTCCTCTGAGACAGTTTGGCTCCTGGCCAGCTCAAACTGTCCGTCGCTCTGAAGGCTTGAAGTAATGGGCTCATTTCCCCAGTGGGACAGGACGGGGGCTGAATAAAAACAAGAGGGGGGATGCCTGGGGACGCTGCAGGAATGACAAGAGCACACGACAGGGCCCAGAAGGACCAGCGATTTGCCTGCGTGCTGCTGTTAAGGCCGTACTGTTTTATACGTTGCCATCAGCTCAACATTTAGGATCAATGTGATATCGATCATAACTAAGTCTCTTTAATTAGAAGCAACCAAGTACTGTATGTACAATCCAATATGTGAAGGCTGAGTTTACCCTGTACAGAACTGTATATTTATTAACCCTCTGAACCCCAAGCACTTTTGGGTGTTTGAAGCTCCTGTCATGTTTTTGCCAACTGTGGGCTCATTTTTCACTGCAGTTTAAAGTTCTGCATCTCTGTGGAAACAGCACAACCGTGGCTACAAGTAGAGAGAATTCAAACACTGTCCTCAGTGCAGTAAAACAAAGTTATACGATCATGAATCATAAAAGAAGATAAAAAGTTGAATATTCTAATTATTTATCTTTAAACAAACTGATATCAACATACACAGAATTTTCCCAAGTGCCCACAGATGTTACCAATAATGGGGGGAAAAAAAGTGATTCTCCAGTTTTCACATTTTGGTTTGGTTGAGTTTTCCAGGAGATGGCAGAATATCATAGACGTGTAGTTCAAGGGCTGTCAGAGAGTTGATGATTCAACAATTCTTTGTCTTTTTACAGTTTCTGGTTCTAATAAATGGTGACATATTGATGATTTTGAAGATGTATATATTTATTTGTTTTTCTTTTGCTTTTCTAACCTCCGGCAGGGTTTTGGAGTTAATCACCTTTAAATGACCTCCTCTGTTGTTTTTTTTAGTGTTTTTAAATTAGAACAAAGTTCACTTGTACTTGCTTTACCACCTGATGGGGTAATGCAGTGTTGTCTTGCTAGGGGCAGTGTTTCAAAGCCTCAAACATGTCTTATTCTACTTCAAACAAGGAAGTGGAGTGCATTCTAATAAATACCTAGAGCGTGGGTGTGGTCAGGCTCCCGGCGGCAGGTGGAGTCATGTTGGCACAAACTACCTTTAAGAGGTGCAGTCATGAGAAAAAAGCATCCTCCTCTTAGGATGACAAATATTATGTAAGGTACACCCACATCTTAATGTTCTTTGCTCAACAAGAGGCTTTATTATTATAAGCCCGTCTAAGTAATATCGCCTGTTTACAACCCACCAGAATCAGAATTTTTCTTTGCTGTTTCGTAACCTGTCGGCAGATCCCTCCAAAAGCTGCAGCTACAAGTACGTCTTGCCATTCAGGACACTTGGCATTAAGATGTAATTAAGCAAGCTTCTATTGAGTGATTGCCAAAACTTTTGCTCAGTGGGTTTGCTCACTTGAAACTGAAAAAAAAGAACAAGACAAAAACGGGATTTTCTTGAATCATCATTATTTTTAGGCTGTAGACTTTGCTTAGTTTCATTTTACTGTGATAAATGTGCCATCTTGTTACGTTTCTTGTGACGGTGTGTGTATATGTGGGTGTATGTGTGTGTTGTCTCTGTACACAGTGTGCATAACAGCAATTCCTTAAAAGCCAGGGAGGAGTAATAATGTAGCACAGGTGCAGCCTTCATCTGGAAACTACCAAACGAATATAGTGTTATTACTGATCTGTTTGCTCCAGACACGTAGTAACTTGACATGTGATCATTGTGGAAACTTCTTCTTCTTCTGGCTGCTGTTTAACCTTCACCTGGCCCTTTATCTCTGACCAAATATTTTTTTGTTCCTTGTAGATCCCTGTCTTATAGTGATGCCGCCATGCATGGGCGAGGCCGACCGCTTCAGTCTGGACGCGCTGCGGCACATCCACAAACAACTGGATGACGACAATGATGGGGGAATAGAGGTCAACGAGAGTGTGGAGGTAAGCTTGGTGATTTTGGCTGTTAAGCTGTCACTGACACAGTATGCTGCTTGAGGTACTATGACAAAGCAGATGACTTAAAATAACATTAAGGGAAAAACCTGTGGCCTTTAGGTTTAAGTTGTTGTTTCCAGTCTGCAGGCAGGACATCCTGAAGGGGACCTAAAAACCTTTTGAAAATCCTTCAGGAGGAACGCTGGCCCTATCCCAATATCCACCCTCAGGCCTAAGCACTAAACCCTCACAGACTTTACTGACGTCACGGCTGTAGAGCTCGAGTGTGTGAGTTCATGAGTTCGCTCCAAATGGTATAAAAAGGAGGAATGGACACACTATCATTACAGCATGTTGCTTGGAGACATCAAGACTCGTGTTTCATTCACAGTTTGATCAGCTGCTCCGTTTATCACTCGCTGTTTCTGACATTACAGTAATTATACATTTTAGCCAACTAGCAAAAGTCAGGGTAGCCATGGACGTCTGTAAATCCTGTGTGGGTTTTGATTGAAAATACAAGCAACTCTACAAAGGTACAATAAAAAACAGCAAACAGCCAGATACTATACCGTACAGATGAATGTCCCAGCAGATTTCTTCCCTGCACCATCCATGCTTGGTTTGTGTGCATTCTGTGGGGGGCAGGACAACCACCAGGTCCAAGTCCACATCAGAGCCCTCATGCACTTGATGATTTGACAGGACAGCCCTGAGCTTTCATGTATTTAGTGGGAACACACCACAAAGTCCTGTGAGGCTTTGAGTGTGGGGACTGGAATAAGGCCTGAACTGCTCACAACTTGCATGTGAAGGAGTACACGATGCTTCATTTTAACCCTGTACACCCCAAAAATCCAGTGACAGGTTTGGACAAAAATGTCTTGTTTTTAAAAATTGACAAAATTATACCATCTGTTTAGAGCAAGAAACTGTTTCTAACTTAGTTTTTAACTTTAAATTTAAGTTAACCTAATATAAGCTTAAATTTGCTTCATTTGCTGTCTCTCATTTTAAATTTGCCAAAAATAAACAGTTTGTTATAACTAGTTTCTGTAAAAACCTAACAAAGTTCTACACAACCTACAAGCAGCCGTGATACCATCAGTGACTCAGTTGTGACCAACAGTCACGTGACAAAAATGAAAGGGCTGTTTGGCTAAACTATTATAAACTGCAGGCTGTGCTTACACTGTAGATAGGTGACAAGTACGGAAACAAAATAAAAAATTTAACTAGTATAATACCTAGAGTCACTTTTTGTTTTTGTTGGTTACAGCTGAGGCTAGTTGGAAAGTGTTGTACATGTTGATTCCAGGTTTTTTTTTTTAAATTTTTGTAAAATAGACTATCAGAGATTGTCCACTTTTGTTGATATGATTTTTGGCATTGTTGTTTTCTTACAATGCATAAAAGATATTTTGAGTTCTCTCTGCTTCTATCCACTGCTGTACTGTTACCATAGAGGTGCAGGGCTTTATATTGCAGTAAAAAAATGAACTTACAGTGAGTAAAAAATGTGACGGGAACAAAAAAATGCCCTGAAACTGCTCGTGGTTCAGAGGGTTAAAAGGTTATACTTAAACTTTGGGAGCCACTAGAGTAGGTAACTGAACTTAGGGGGTAGCTGCAAAACCTGTAAAAATAATTTGCCTCTTTACCTCTTTACAGTTATTGTTTTATTTTCATGTTGTGGTTCCCAAATAGTGAATATTTAATCAGCGCCACAGGTTTCCTCGAAGTAACACTTCAGCAGAAATCCTGTATTTTGTAAATTATTAGATTAGCCAAACAAAACTGCTTGTAAACGGTTAATGTGTTGACACAAGAACGCCGGCTTCTCACCTCTGAAAGTGTATTGCCACATACAAGTAAATATTTAGCTAACAGTGTGTAACAGCTTGTGGCAGTAGGTCAGGCTGCTGAAGCTGCCCTACAAGTCAGATCATTTGAACATTTAGCAGTTATTCATCGGAGGAGGCAGCCAAGCATTGCTAACACATTGTCATAGACACACATATCATTGGTTACCTTTTTTTTGTTGACATTATATGTTAATATTTGTAGTTTTATAGAGAATGTGTTTTGTGCTGCCTTAAGTTTAACGAGAAGCTCTGGAGTTGGGATTTTTACTTTTGAGATGATTCTGATGAAGGGGTGGTAGCAACACTGGCCTTGCAAGGTGTGTGTGTTTGGTGTGTTTGGTGTGTGTGTAAAGAAAGAAGTAACTAACCGGGTACGACTGACATCTGAGAGCACTCTGACCCGCTGTGCCCTGTGCGTCTTTTGGTAATCAACGACGTTCAATAGAAACCACTCGGGACCACGGTCACATTTGTTTGTGTGTGTGTGTGTTGGTTGGAGTCATTTTTAACTGGCTGGGAAGCGCCGGTGTGAGAAACAGTTATACCCTGCAGCCCTGCGGTGGCGCCTCACTTAAGTATGAGCGCTGTCTGAAGAAGCCTGAGGGCTGCAGTGTTAGAACTGGACCCCTGCCCACATCAAGAGGATGTGTGTCTGTGCGTGGATCACTGATGCTGACATTTACAGTACAGGAGTGTGTTACAAAATGCCCCCTTGCCTGTTTTCACCCTTTGTCTTTATAAGGGCAGTGAGTCGTGTCTGCTACTTTCCAGCAGAAAGCTTGAGTTGTTTTTGGCCGATGCTCATTACTGAGGATTTTCAGGCTTCTTCTCCGGGCTCTGAGTTTCATGCCGGAATAAAGTTTCATGATGGATGTGCGTTTCACCGAATTAGTGGCTGTCCATTAGTTGGTCTTATGAAAGATGGACATTGTTGTGTGATCAGGAGACTATAATTGGAAACACGTAATGTTTCTTTCGTGGCATCTGGTATAAGACTGAGAACATGCAGCATGCGATCTAGAATCTAATTTCTTGTTTTTTGACTGAATATTACGAGTGAAAATTATGTTTCAAATTGTTTTTTAAAGTAGAATTTAAGGAAGAAATGTGATTTATTTTTATTTTTTTCCCCAGCTGCCATGTAGTGCTCTGTGTTTTTCTATATAATTGCCAAAGCAATTGGAGTGAACTTCTGCTAAAACAAATAATTTGGCTTGTTTTCAATAACAGCTAAAAAAAAATCAAGGCTTTATTGTACTGGCAGAAGGCCTATAGGCCACCGTACGCATGGCACATAGAGTAAATAGAGTAGATAAAGCCAAAAACAAAACCAGCTGTTTTTCAAATATTAAAAAAAAAACCTTCATGATGAAGAAGAAGCATGCAAAACGTTAGTCATCTATACTAGAAAAATGATTAAATGTCTGGAAACGTGTAATCTTTCCTTCATGTCGGCTAGTCTTGGCTGTGCTGTCCGGAGGCGAAGACAACAACAAAAAGCAGTTTATCAGTCGTTTATGTAAATGTTCACGAAGTCACACTTTACTCAGAAAAGGTGTTTGTGCTCGTCATTATGCAACTCCTTCCCTTTAACTTTTTCTAATCCAGTTCTTCAAAATGTGCACAAATGTGCGTTGCAAAACCACAACTGTACTTTTCTGTCCTTTTCTGTGCTACTGGGACGCAAATGTCTTCATGTGGTCACAGTGTTGATAGAAAAGCCAGATGTACAATGTACCATGTGAACTGAGGAAGTGGTGTTATACCCACACCCTTTTTTTTTTTTTTACATAGAATATATCCAAAACAAGTTACCAAGTAATTGTAAAAACAAAAGACAAAATGTACTCCAGACAGCAGCTGTAGAGATGCGACGATTGGGATTATGTGCATTCTGTTTTGGATTCAGGTCCAGTTTAGGCCTGGATAGCTTTTATCGACTCAGATATGAATACAGCAATTTGCCTTAATGTAATAGAAAAATACACGGCAGAGATCAGTTTTAATAAGTGTGGGTGTATTTAAAGGCATGGCAGTTGGTTTAGGGTTTGTGGGCCTCGGGTCAGTGATTTGATCCCCTCTTCTGCGACGTGGAAAAAAAATTGTCACATTGAACCGTGTTTAGCATCAGTTTCATTACAATCCAGGCTCTTCCTGGCAGTGATGAGTTGAAATGAGTGACACAGTTATGAGGGCGGGTGATGAGTGTGGGGTCAGCCTGCATCTCTTCTTTTGGAGATGAGACGTCATCACCTCCTCACCCCCCAGTGCCACCTGGCTGTAACCTTACCCCTGTGACAGGTCCTGCTTTTCCTACCCCTGCTACCGTTTATCCCAAAATCTGAGAGGATGACTAACAGTAGAGGACGGTCATGTTGGAGCGTATATGTTTCTCATGACATGTATTTCAGAGAGTCTTTATGCTGATGGTGAAGATAACATTAGGTGTTGTCAGGGAGCCAGTGGAGATATATACCTAGTAACAATAACACCAGTGGGATTTGACGAATGTTTACGTTTTTGTCGAACATATTATTAAAGGAAAATAATTTCTTCTTATATTTTCAGGTGATTATACACCAATGAAAACATAATTATGTATGTTCAATCCTATTTCTGCCTTAAATCCCCCTGAATCTTACACCCTGCACCTTTAAGACACTGTGAACATGGTCTTCACATGCAAGGAAAAAACTGCTGCTTTGTCTTTGTTCAGGCAGTCTTCAGACTGAGATGCTTTGTTGACCTTTCAAACATCCCCGTTTTCCTGAGGCATGAGGCTGCAAACTACGTAGCTTCACACTTGTTTTGTAGGTTGTTTGGTATGTCGATTTTCAAGTCATACAAGAACCAGACATTGGCATGCAGTTCTGTCAGGACTCATTGTCAGGTTGTTAACTGGAAGACGTGAACATTGTGTGCTCACCTTTCAAGAGCTGAATATTTTCCTTGTCATAGTAAATCTGTAGATGTGTATGTTATTGCAATAGAATTTTGAAATACAGCTTACAATAAAAGAATAGAGGGTGGCCTTATCAGCGACTTATAAACCTGTCTGCCTGGTAGGGCCGAAATGTGGAATTGGTTTGCTTTTAAAGTTCCTCTGTACCTTGACAACAACCACAGTTGCTATGTTGGAGG